GAGATCGTAGGATTTTCAGTTAGAATATGAAGACTGACAAGGCCAATGACCTGATAATGATTTAGCAGTGTAAAAGTAGCCTAAAATATCGGCGGCGAGGTCTCGGTGCTGACTGAAGGCATTCCAGCGTCGTAAGTTACAATGCATTAAGCTTGAGAGTATAATTGAGTAGCTTTACTTAGCGGGTGGCAATTATAGCCTTGCAATGTTGGAACCTTTGTTCATTTGGGTAGTAATTGGATGCTAACCTGCATGTCGGAGACTTTTGGGCAGCATAACTACCAATTCTCATTAGCTCACAAGACCTCTAGATTGATTCAATGATAGTATAGCAGTCTTGTTTTTGGGCCAATTATTCTCGGTCTCGAGTTCACGCAGTCCCAGAATCCCAGCCTCGTGCAGACGCCTACCCTGTGGCCCCCAACAATCACGGCCGTTATTCGGTCCCATGCATCTTGGCCTCATGCATGCAACATTTGAATACTCGGGCCCCCCTCCCGGCCGACTCAACACGGACTAAACGGGTTGTGAATCTAGCAATTCGGCGCGAATCCGTTGTTTGTGCTTGCGAGGCTGCAGGGGATTGTGCCGTGAGATGCAGACATTTAGGTGGGGTCCTGTATGTGCTATGTGTATGGGGCCAGTATTTAAAGCCTCAATGCGAGTTTTGAGTTTTAATTTCAAGGCCGACGTTGAGGTGTGTTAGTATCTCGTCAATGATCCTGACACGGGTATTGCTTCAGAACTACTTACATTCGACTATCCAAAGACACGTCAATCAAAGGAAATAGGTAAAAATATATATCTTGGCTCTGACAAAGCAAGCAAAATGCCAGTGGGTTTCGAAAATGAAGATAGTGCGAAGACATGGGTGGTTCCCGGCCTGTCATGGAACTATCCACCTATCATACAAGTCCACGTTTGAATCCACCTCTGAAGGATTACCTCCTTGTCAGTTAGTACGAGGGGACTTTGTTGGTTGCCTGAAATCCGAAAGTAGCCTTCGAGCTAGCGTCATTCCACACTGAGTCGATTGCAGCTCTGGGTGAATAAAGGCAGTCAAGGTCGTGGACACTGGAACACGACGGCTTGCTAAGAGACACTACTACAGTTTTCCTATTCTCTTTGACAGCCTGGGCGTGACTTCCATCATATCTACAACTATGGAGTCTTTCCTATTATCATCATGCTATCATGCATACACTGCCCATCTATTTGTCTGCGATAACATCAAAGATATCATTTGCCTGGGGCTTTTATTTGGGGCATTGAATGCCTCTGTCGCGTCTGAATTCGACATGGGCGCCTCTTTGCCTTTCAGCCAGATATTGACTTCTTTACCTGAAATGTTCCTCTGGTCGTGGAGCAATCTGTTTCTCTTCACTCTCCATAATCAGCGCTCTGCCTCTGCCATATCAGAGGACAAGATCAACAAACCCTGGAGACCTCTTTCAGCCGGCCGGATATCGCCACGTCAAGTCAGAATGCTCATATATTTCATGTATCCTGCCATATTTGCAGTTTCAGGCACCATGGGTGGTGCTGCGCCTTGTATTCTGGAGGCATTCTCCTGTTTGTGGTACAACGAATGGAACGGTGCATCAAACCCACTATTGAAGAACTTGCTTAATGGTGTTGGGTTCGCGTGCTTCTTTGCTGGCCCACTAGAGGTTGCAACGAATAACTCAGTTCTTTCTGGCGATATGAAGGCATTCATGTGGCTCCTTGTTCTCGCTGGGGCAATTTCGACAACTGTTCACGCCCAGGACTTTCGGGACGTTGAGGGAGATAGAGTCTCCGGTCGAAGAACAGTGCCCCTATTAATCGGAGACGAAAATGCTAGGTCTGCCCTAGCAGTGGGAATTATAGGTTGGACAGCATTGTCCTGTTGGTTTTGGGATTTGGGCTCGGCTGAACGCTCATGGCTTTCCTGTATCCCCGCGTCCGTTGCGGGCACTATAGTGGTTTGGGGATTTTACTGGAACAAAACTCGTGAGGGAGATCGAAGGTCTTGGAAGATTTACCCACTATGGCTCGTTGGACTTTTTCTTATGCCTCTGCGTATTCTTTAAGCAACATCAGTGGGTGACAATTTCGTCTTCCTGCGAATAGTCTGTACGCTCTTGGAATGATGTGTAGTTACAGGTGTTCTGATAGACCAATTCATTACAAATGATACAGTAACCTAAGATTTGACTGTCAATTTGAGGTGCTTGTAAGAGGTTAAGCACTACTGTAATAAATATTGGAAGGTGCCGTCCAAACGAGAAGGGTAAGCTGGAGAGTCAAGTAAAGTCAACTCAAGTCGTCTGATTTACGCCTTGGCAAGGGGGGCCGCGAGCCCCCACATTAAGGCGTACCAGGCTAAGGTATTAAATAGTAGTACATGTTCAAACTATAGTAATCCAAGGTTGACTGACCTTGACTAGGTGGCAAAATTAGCTACTTTTCGATAACTTCGGCCCCTATGCAAGGGGTCCTGTATGGTGTGTCAAGGTGTTTGAAGTTCCTTGTAGGACTTAGGTAACTAGAGAATCTAAGTAAAATATAAGGAAAAGGGGGCAGAGAGGTTAAAGGTAGAGACTTGAAAATATGTGGAAATGAGTGTTGGAGGTGGGTTCGGTGGGGTCGGCACCCGTGCCTCCCATAGGTGTGCCTAAGCGCAGGGCTGAATATATCTTATGTGCGCGCAGATGCGGGCGTAAAAATCCGTTGCAGTTCTGTGAATTCTGATGGGTCCAGATTTTCAAGTTGTAAGACATGCGCCCCGCTGGGCGCGGGCGGATGGGCGGCCGGTTCGGCCAGTCCCGGAGAGTCTGTCGGGCTTTGGGATACATAGTGGGTTAAGCTGGGGAGGAGAAGAAGAAAAGAAAAGAAGAAGTGCGAGGGCAAGTGCAAGGTACATTTCCAGATATGAGGGGTAACGCCAATTACAATGCCTCCGGCTCCTCAAATCTCAATACATACACGTACGCAGATTACCAGAAACGATCCCTGTCAAGCGCGACGTCTCGTGCCTGGTGCTCATATCGCCCCCACGATTGTCTAGATCGTCTTATTAAAAGCTCTCTGGTACTCGGGTTTCTTCACAGTGCAAGTCACATCAATATTTATTGTGTCTTCAAGACTCATTTTCATTGACATTTGATCCCTCCTGAAACAGTTAATGAATCTGGCTTGTCTCTTTCTCCCAACATGGCGCTCCCATTAGGAGCCGTGCAGCTAGCTGTGATATCATTTATCGTGGGCCCCATGGCTATCATCGCTGTGGCTCTCAGACTGTGGTCTAGGTATCTCCAGAGAAGAACTCTGGCTGCAACTGATTACTTGGCATTGGTAGCATTGGTACTAGCTGAGTCCGCTTTGTCCGTGTTCCTGGCAGGTAGGTTTGTCGAACATTGAGCTCTGTCGAACTGAAAAGACAAGAATTCGAATTCACACTTACACAATCTAGCGGGCTTTGCAGCTGGCGTAGGAGTTCATTTAGAAGAGCTTTTAGCAACGGCACCTCAAAAGTTCGCTCTGCACATGAAGGTGGGTTAATGGGTATTGCACAATTTTCTACCCTACACTCTCGACTAATTGGCCTTCACTTGTTTAGCTTTTCGTGCCCGCCCAGCTGCTGTGGGCCGCGGCAAACTCGTGTGTTAAGGCATCAATATTGTATCTCTACATGGACCTCTTTCCCAATAAGGTCTTTTGCCGTTTGTGCTATGGTACCCTGTTCATCACTGCCGCGTATTTCACTATGGTACTGATCGAAACCTTCGCGCTTTGCAAACCTGTCCAATACAACTGGGATAAATCAATTGAAGGGCATTGCAACGGTGAAAACATTGCTTACCTCGTTGCTGGCATTGTCAATCTCACCATTGACACTTTCATTGTGGTACTACCGATGCCTCTGGTTTTCAACTTGCAAATGGTTTTATCCAAAAAAATTGCCGTCGCCGGAATGTTCAGCCTCGGGGCGTTGTAAGTGGATATATTCGTACTCCCAACATTTGCTTCTCTTGTTTTATTTCTTTTTCTGCTGCATAAATAGGCTACTTACTATATTCACGCTTGCTAGGATTTGTGTTATTTCTCTATTGAGGGTCATTTGGTTGTGGACTTGGAATCTAGCTGATCTGACCTACACCGTTACGCCTGGTGCCATTTACTCGGTATTGGAACCAACCCTCGGGGTGGTAAATGCGTGTTTGCCCACAATTAAACCTGCTATGACCGAGCTATTTGGAGCGTACGTACTCCTGTGTTGCTTGATTTCTTGACAAGAATGCTCGATTTCCACATCGAAAGCTCTAAACTAACATTCAATAGTGTTGTGTTTCATGGCACGAAACGCAGCTCCAACAGCGGGGGCAATTATAGTAGCGGATTATCGAGTCGAAAGCTCAACGGAAAAGTGAAGGGCAATCTTACTAGGGATTTCGAACGTCTTGATGATGAATTTGCGCTTCATGAAATGCACATTGACAGGCATTCTGACATTGGTTTCACCAGCGATGACCACAAGTCGTCGATTCGAAGTTTACCTTGAGTGATGGGGGAAGATCTTGCAGCTCAACTTCACTATTGCAAGCAAGTCGGAAGTATCATGATGTACTATTCTGTAATTTAGTAGTATTGAAGCCTGACTTTCGTGGTCTGGGCTATTGCTTTTGCGTATTGCTTTCTGGTGTTAGTGTTCAGCCCCCTCGGTCTTTTACTCGCTGGTTACATCCGAGCAAAGTCCTGAGCATTCAGGGCGGGATCAGTAGCCTTACGTATTTTTGCCCGCCCCACTTCTCGCTCCAAAGAGCAGCGCCAAGCTGTGGGGATCCCGGTTAATCCCGTAGTCGTACCACATGCAGTCCACCCTGATCACTTGCACCGCCTACGAGTATATCCCGTCGACAGATCTTATTTGCGATAACAACCAGGCGGCTCCGGCTCAATACCAGGAAATGTTCGCAGGAGCTACCAAGGCGCATGTCGACCGCTGCAGTGCGGGACACTCGCCAATGCTGAGCCAGCCGGAAATGTTGGCAGAGAAGATGATGGCGGTGACCGACAGAGTAGCAACGATTTTAGACATCAAAGAAATAGGATACCTAGGGGAAGGGGGAAGAGTCATGCAAGTGAGAATGAAACGTCTTGGCCGCACTTGAACAATTGCCTATCTTGGTGTCTACTCTGGGGCCTCGACCCATACCCGACGGGATTATCGCGGTTACATCCTTCCCGCCGGTCCTAGGCCTGCAGTCAGATTTAAAGCCCCGCCGACCCCGTTGGATGCTACTGTGGAGTACTTGGAAATAACGATCGACAGATCTGAGTAAGCACTAAGGATAGTAGTTAATATATGATATGTACATGGATCGACAGCCGGTAGCTGACTTTGAACACTTTATCTGGTTACCTAATTGATCCTGGTCATCGCACGGCCCCAGGCATTACGATTTTCATTCAGCCGATCATATCATTTCCAATTTTCTCCGCAAGGGCATCTAGACCCATCAAGAACCATGCCAGTCTGTGGGTAAAATAAGTGTGGTTGGGGCGAAATCCTTACAAACCGTTGCTGAAAGGAAACGCGGACGCATCCACGACACGCCGTGATTCGACTCCAATAACCCTGCAGCGACTATCCACCACGGCGCCTGTATCATTCAATCTCCGAATGTGGTTCGTCCCCGCTGCTTTATACACGGAGTTAGTTCTCTCGTATGATGTGCAGCTGATCCGCCATCGAAGTATCGTAGGCGCCAGGGAAGGCCTCGGAGACAACCACACCGGCCTACAAGGATGTTACTATCGTCAGTATCCCTGCACCTTGGCCCCCCTTTTTTCCGGGAACATAAGACGAGCGAACAGGCCAATAATCCGGCGATATAACCCGGGGGAATAATAATTCGGCCCAGATACAGTCTAACTCAGAACAGGTTGGAGCTTCCCTTTCCGGCCTCTTACATGATATCGCTTTGCACCGTGTAGGGTGCTGCGTGCATATCCTGGAAAAGCCCCCCAGTAGCGCTCCAGTCTCTCATATGGCAGGGCTCGCCTTGGGGCCCGATGTTCTCCACTTCCTCAGCCGGTTCGACCGGGTTAAGGGCACAGTCAGCCCTGGAATTCCCTCGGTACTGCTGCAATCGCTGGATTCCAATAATGGCTAACCACGTCCCTTTCTACGGACCACCCGGATCATGTCTTCGTGAGATGCGTTGTACCTTCGCATGCGCGCTAATTATAACAAACTTTACAGCGATTACGTACGACGCGCACCTGGTCCGCTACCCCATAATAGAGAGACCATTGAGTCGGCCCGCCATAGGGCAAAATATTATACTGGACAGCATATTACAGCGATCAACAAGGAGCCCAGCCCTCGGGATACCTAACCGCTAACGTAATATTAGGCGCTGATAGGCTAATCTCCAAATCCTCATATTTAAAGAGATGAATAGACGAGATTTAAGTTGGGCGTATTTTCCGGTCCGTAGGCCCCTGTTAGTTGGCCCCAGACTTAATTATATAAATGCAAGTGGAGAGCTGGGATTAAACTGGAATTTGGTTAAAGCTCCGCCTCATTCGCGCCGGTCCGGCCCCTGGCTATCCCTCAGTCTTTTTGATGGTGGTTCTCATTCAAAGACCAGGTCCCACCTCTTAGCCCATATACCAATGTCAGTTGACTATACTAATTTCTATAGCCACCTCCTGCCATCTGACGACCTTTGTCTTCCTGTTCAGCTATAGGATCTGCTTGGTTTGATAGGGAAGGAATCCCTTGGCAATATGCAAGGTCATCCAGTAGTAGTTATTAATGTCTAACGGAAGCTGGGCGGAGCCTAGTCTCTATAGTCCCCTCTATAGTACGGGAGATATATTTAAACTAGGATTTCATATATACAAGGTTATATATGACCTCTACTCTATCAAAGAAAGCATGCTCAAGCTATAGCTCAAGCTAAAGGCAGGTTAATTATGGTCTTATCTTTCTATATAAACTAAACATAAATACAAAATTCTCTACTGGGCAATAGTATGAAAGAGATTAGTATAACCGTCGCAAATTAAGAAGTACATGCCTATGTGTTGGGATATATATTAAAAGACAGACTAAGCTACAGAATCTATATAATATAGATGAAACAAGATAAATAAGAGAAAATAGGCCCCTTAGAGTTACATGTCGAGCAGCGGGGACAGGACACTAGAAAGAGGGAGGGAAAGAGGAGCGGAAAGAAGAAGCAGATAGGGTTAGGTGATGTCTACTTGGGGCAAATCCAGAGATTGGTAGGGGTTGGCCCGGGAATATGAAAGTAGAAGCCTATTATGCTAACAAAGGCCGTGAATTGTAATAGGCCGAGGCCCTGTAGGTAGGGCTGAGCCTCGCTTATTAGGAGGATAAAGGGATCTATCTGGCTAATTACCTACTAAATGTGCGTTACGCCTTCGGACGTAGAATGAGATATTTGGAGGTCTAACCGCCCCCACAGAAACGAATCACCTTCGCGTTGTTATAAGAGAACTTGTAGTTGTATTATAATAAATCTTTATGCGTGAATTACAGGCCGAGCGATCTGTCAAGGATGTGTTTCAGGAGCTCAGGCTCCAGGAGGGGCCGGACTTGCTATTCTCTATTACCTGGCTAGCGGGTATATGCAACCTACTCTCAGTTCGATGTACAGCCCCAGGAAACCTAATACTAAGCACTCCTGCCCCTGTCACTACAGGTATCGACCTATGTGTACCTTGCCAGTATCCTAATGTGAGAAAGTTGGGCCAGGAATATGTACCATGCTGTAACTCCCACAGGCGAAACATTACCTACCAACATGTCTGAGCCTTGTTGGCACTTACCAGCATGTCTGAGCCTTGTTGGATTTACGTAAATCTGAAGCTGATAATAGAGATAGGGGAGTAAGACCGATTAGAATCTGTATATATATACCTCGTAGATTACCCCGTTGAAATCTATCCAGTCTACCCATCATTCCTTTATTCATTATCACAAGTCAATCCTTAGTATATATCACTCTCTTTTAAATTTTCAAACCACTCTTTTCTTGCTTTCATTTTGTTACAATGAAAATATCAGGCTTCTGGATGAGGCACGTGGCGCTCGGGCTGCTTTGCCTTTTCCTCCTGTCTGCATTCCAAACAGCATCTGCTCTACCGAGGAAGAGCAAAGGGATTAGCAGTCATCGCTCTGGCAGCGGTAAAGGGAGCTACGGCATAGGAGGTCTACTTTCTAGTCATGGCGACAGAAAGAACAACAATAAACCCGATGATAAGAAACACGGGCTCGGCGGACTCTTCGGCCATGATAACAAGAACAACGACAAACCCGATGATAAGAAACACGGGCTCGGCGGACTCTTCGGCCATGATGACAAGAAGAACAACGACAACGACAAACCCGACGATAAGAAACACGGGCTCGGCGGACTCTTCGGCCATGATGACAAGAAGAACAACGACAAACCCGACGATAAGAAACACGGGCTCGGCGGACTCTTCGGCCATGATGACAAGAAGAACAACGATAACCCCGACGATAAGAAACACGGGCTCGGCGGAGTCTTTGGCCATGATGACAAGAAGAATAACGACAAAACCGACTCTACTCTGGGCCCCAAAAAGCCAAAGGGTCACTGCAAGCCAAAGGGCAAGGGTGGTAAGGGAGGCAAGGGTGGTAAGGGAGATAAGGGACAGCATCCTCCCAGAAACCTGAACGATAATGCGATGGAGGATGACTACGCCGATGAGGAGAATAATCTCTACGCCAGAGATGATGCCGATGAACTTAGCTGCAGTGACGGCGTACCCAGCATCGCTATAATCAAGGAAGAGATCAAAGACAAGACAGTGAAGGACTCCTGCCTTTTCTACTCCGGACCTAAGGGTGACCCCTACTCAGTTAAAGCAACGCTGTGGCGCAATAAGCCAGAAAATCGCCGGTACCGAATTCTCAGCATGAATTACAGAAATCCTAATTGGGACAAACAGTGGAAGGGCGAAGATCGCAAAGTCGTAGACAGGCGCATCTCCCAGGCAATGGCGGAGTTATGCGTTGGCGAGGTGATGGTTATGCTACCTAGCAACACTAAAGGCACTAACTGGGAAAAGGGTACTGTGTGGGATAAATACGAGTGGCCAAACCTCAGCTCGGCCGTTACCAAAGTGACTCGGGTTAACCCAGATAATGACGACAGAGAGGTGATCTGGGGGTATTAGAAAATAAAGGGATGGGTTCTTCCTATCTTGGGTCGGGGCCTGAGGTGAGCGGCTACAGCTGATAGCTGCAGCATACAGTGTTTCTGGAATAGCCTGGAAATGTATTATATGATTTAGTACTAGCTCCTAGCATCTAGACAGGGAATTGATTGGTTTCTGAGATGTTCGTATTGCCTAGTAAACTTATACGGAACTTGTAACATATAGTAATACTAATAAGGGGCCCCCTCCCCGGACAACCCCAAAGTATAAATATTCTTGAGAACGTCAGTTCTTTTTCCCCTCCCCCCTCTTTCTATACCCTAACCTGGCATAAAATCAGGCCAATCTATCACGATGAAAGAGGATCTTGTTAGCGTTGCCCAAACCGACCAGCTGGACAAGCTTCGTCATCTCTTGGACCTCGAGATAGCGCAGAACCCCCAGTTCCTAACTAGCCCTAGCCATCTCACTACCCCGGCCATAGAAGCCGCGTGCTGCGCAGCGGCGCGCAGTAATAACCCTGCAGCGCTGGATATCCTCCTGGATAGCGGCTGTTCAATAACGCTGGGTGAGTACATCTTTAGCACTTATACACCTTTCTTAATAAAAAAAGCGTACTTAGCTTCTCCAAACATCAATATAGATCCAATCCTAGACGCTCTACACCTAAAGCACACAGCCATTCTAGATTGCATCCTTGCTCATAACTGGGACATCAACTCGACTTTCAGTCACTTTGACAACGCTCTGATGTAAGCCCGGCTGGGGTTGAATCTCTCGTTTTTTCTTTACTTCATAGGAAGGGTTCTCTAACGGGCTTTATTTACCAGTGTGGCGGCACGGGAGCGCGATGTCGAGCTAGTCCAATTCCTGCTGTCTCGCGGTGCCAAACCTAACTCAAAGAGCTTCGCAAACCCATTTAAGGACGCGATTGAAACGGCAGCTTTTACTGGTTCGATCCCGGTGGCTGATGCGCTCTTGAATGCCGGGGCGGTATTAAAGGGGGGTTTCGCACTGAGGACTGCGGCGTGCTGGGGACATGTTGCGATGGTAGCGTTCCTGCTGGAACGGGGCGCGGCGATTGATGAGATCCCCATCAACCCGTATATTATGGAGGAGCCGTGGGAACCAGATGAGAAGAATGCGCTTTGCGAGGCAGCCTGGCGGGGACAGGCTGCGGTGGTGGAATTCCTGCTGGAAAAAGGGGCGGATCCTAGTATCAGAGACACAAAAGGCAGATCGGCGTTGGAGCTCGCGAAAGCTGGAGTAGATGATGAGTTCTGCGTGAAGCTCGCGGAACCTGGAGGACATGAGTCCTGCGTGAAGCTGCTAGACCACTAGCCTCCCTCGGCATCTGAGCAACGGTACGGCCGGCCATTGGATTATCCTTTCCGTCTATATGGGTTAGATAGCTCGGGCCCATATGATACTTAGTTACTTATGATCCTATGGGGACATGCATTGCGTGCAATTCAGAGATTTAGCTCCCCGGCTTGGCGGTGCCTTTCAGGTAGTTATACAAGGCAGAAGAATGTCCGGCAGGAAGGACATGGAGGAAGAGAATACTAGTTTTATTAATACGAGAAAATTATATGATTCTTGCAAGCTCTACCTTGGAGAACCCCTAAACAATACTATATAACTATGTCTACCTTTATGCAACTTCTCTTTAGCTGTATTACACTCTAATATAACTATATTCGTATATTAAACTATTATCTCTCCTTATCGCTCCCGGCCATACAGCTGGGCATCTTACGCCCCTTGCAAAAGTTACCTCAGACTGCACTCCTGAGCCCAGGACCCGTCAGAATGACACATTTGTTTACTAGTTTAATGAATCTATCTTTATCCAGGGGTATTCAGCCCACAAAATGGTTTCCTTTAGGCATAGAGAATAACTGCCGGTCAGAATCGCTATTTCACTATCTATCCAAAAAAACAGCAATGGGGCACCCTTTTATGATGCGCTAGCCAATTTAAATAAAGATATACATGCAGCAGAAGAATTGATTAGAAAACCGTACATCGTTGACGCAAATAAGGATATATTAGTGGTTCTTGGACACAATGCGTCAATAACTAAGCATGCGGACTTCCATTCCGAAAACAATCAATCTGTAGAATAAAAAGGCACTAAAGAGTTATTACAAGCTTCAGGAGAAACAGGTGCGCAGGGGGTTCTTTAATAACTACTGTACCGAGAGAGAATTTTGTAAACTGCTGTATATTTAAATAGGCTTTAATTAATCATTAAATAATTAAACCGTGGTGATGGTGCCGAGCGGGATATTAAACTCGGCCTAATGGCGCCTCCCTCCCTGTAATCCCGAAATAATATGTTAATAGAAAATTGCCGTTTAGCTATCTAAAATCACAAGGGCTCTGGTAGAGCTGTTGTTATGGTATTTCAGAGATGAATCAACACTGCTCTATGAATAGTACGAAATTTATATAGTATATAACTGTCGGTTGACTTGGTCATTGCCCTAAGCAGATATCCTATCGATTCAACTGAATATAGGTATATGCTCGGTGGGTAAAAGTGAAGTGTCATTCTAAACTACAATCTGCCTAGCTATTTATAGTTCCACTTGTTTACACCAATGCATTCCTGATCCCTTGGTATGCCATTTGGAATGGTAGGCCAGGTCTAGGTCAAGCAAGGTGCTGTGCGGTATGTGGATTAGGTCAAGATACTCCACTTCTCTGGCCTGGTTGACAATATTGTTCCAACAGTATTCCATAGCGAGCTCAATATGCTGCTTCGTTTGCAAGGGAAAATCCTTACTCTGTAGGTTAAGGTCCACGAAGCTCTGCAGGTCCTTGACACTGCACGCTTTTCAGTTTCTTCTTCGCTGTGCCTCGGGGGCTTTAGTGCTGATATCAAGAAGGGTTCGTATTGGATAGTGGTCCGAATCTGCGTGGTTTCGCACGTTGACCTCGCAGGCAACGAGCCTAGGGGTCAGGTCCTGCGAGCCGAGGACCAGATCGATAGTGGTCTTGCTTCCGTTGCGCTCCCACGTGGTAGTGCCTGGCTCCAGCCAGAGGTCCAGGCACCTCGTATCCATCAGTTCCAGTAACTGGTCGGACGAGAAGTCTCTTTTAGAGCGTTCTCCTCCCCACGCCGGGTGGTGGAGATTGAAGTCGCCTAGTAGGAGCAAACGTGGGTTAGTAGAGCTGTTAGTAGGGCCGGCAGGGGTAGTTAGAGAGGTAACAAGGTCGAGGGTAGTGCTATCCACTTCGTCAGGCCGATTATATATATTGAAGATGCGCACTTGTTGGCCGTCAGCATCAGTGAGCTCGATTTCCTGGACGTCTTTCGAATGCGCTGTATGTTTCCAGGTACTGGGATCGATTTGGCGTGATATATAGAGACACACGCGGGCCCGCTCGTCCCCTATCTCGGTCGAATCCGGGTATAGGAGCTGGTGGGAGCCGTTAGCAGGATGGTGGGTGGTATCCTGGTAGGGGTTCTCCCAAGGTTCTTGCACGAAGATGAGGTCAGCCTCTAGGACCGCAGGGTCCCGGAGGAACTGTGCCATCACCTTGTCTTTAGATCGATTCGTATTATATTGGAGGATGTGAAGGGGCTTGATCATGATCGATCAGCCCTAGTGCGTTTCCGTGATACTGAGCGGGTCCTTGTGATAGGAGCCGTGGTAGGTGCAGTAATTGGCACCGGGGACTTCGGGAGGGAGACAGTAGGGGTCTCACTGGCCGATGTCGATCGTTCTCGGTATGCTGCTTTACTGCGGGATCGTTTCGTGGGTGGTGTCTCGCCGGTTGGTGAGTCAACTGGTATAATGGCCAGGTGTGAGGCTTCCTGCCGTATTGTGGACTGGGTACGGGCACTCCGGCGCGTTCCTTCAGACGAGGTAACGCTCTGCATGCCACTCCTTCGTCCACGGCGACCCCTAGGCATCGGGGTTACTGGGGCAGGCATCTCCGGCTCGCTCTGCTGACCGGCTTTCTCCCGGTCAGGTTGCGGAGGCGCATCCATTCCGTCTGCAGCAAAATCCATCCTATCATCTGAGGGTCCACTGGCTGCAGGAATTACTTCTTGCGAGCCGGCGTGCGGCGGCGTAGATCCCGGTTGAAATCGGACTGTTGAGCGATTACGGACGCTTGCAGGTCTACTAACGGACCTTGTACGCCTCTCTGAGAGGCTTGTGTGCGGCTGGCTGCGTCCCTCGCTGTTGAACGAGCTGGAGGCCTCCGTACCGCTACGTACGGAGAACTGAAAGTCCTGCAGGTAGGGAGGGACCCGATGCCAGGCTTGTCGGTGCACTGCTGCGGCTTGAACCCGGTCCGTCTCTGCTGCATACCTCGGACACCCTTTGTGCCAGGCAGCGTGTGCTTCTCCACACCCTGCACAGCGGCGCTCCTGGCTATTGGTAGACTTGTGGGAGCAGTTCCGGGTCTCGTGGCTGCCCCCACATAGCCCGCAAGTTGTTTTATTCGAACAGACAATTCCTATGTGACCATATTGTTGGCAGTTAAAGCACCGTCGGATACGAGCAGTCCGATCATATAACACTGTCCTATGGATAACGCTGTCCCAAATGGTGCCTCGTGCGATTGCCTCGTTGGCATGACGGGGATCTATGAATTCCACGATCAGGGCAGATGGTTTCTGGTTCTTATGGTTGGACGGATGAGTGAGCCACGCAATACGCGTAATTTGGGGACTCTGTTGAGCCTCCTTGCTTACCCAGCAGTCCCTGTTCTCCTCGAGTAACTCGTTAGCTACCCGTTGTTGTTCCGTATCGGTAGTAAGGTCCTCGATTGACTTAAGTACGATCCCATGTACAACGATACCCCAAGAGGGACGCCGTAACATGGCTCCCGCGCTCAGGTAGTTGACCCATTGATCGTGGGTCCTGGCAGCTTCGGCCTCAGCGGCGTAGCGGAGTGAGAGACTCAGGTCGCCGGACCTAAGCTGTCTAGCAGCCACAAAACGTGCCTTAGCTAGGGAGAGAGCCCCTGTTTGGCCGCATGTTTTCTGTCTTGCTGTTTCCGCTCTCTGCTTGATATCCGAGGCCGTAAGACGTCGGTAGGTACGCACTGCACCAGCATCCCGTAGCTTAACGATGACCCCGCGATCCTTACTGAGCTCCGACGGAGTGGCCGGGGCGGTGCTGGAGGAGCCGTGAGACGAGGTCGTATGGGCCGGGGGAGGCGCGTTGCGGGCCACAGAGGCCCAGGACTGGTTGTTCTGCTTCTGTACACTTGATTGAGTGTGATAGGTTTGTTCCTGGACATTCTGAAGGGTCTGCCGGATGTTGGCCAGCTCGGGGCCGATACGGCAGTTAGCGGTCAGAATATCTACAATTTCGTGTTGCAGAAAATCGCAGGCGTCAGCTACTTGCTGTATGAAACTGACTACCGGTTTAGGGAGCTGTTTCCCATTTGATTCGTTAAATGATAGGTATTGCTGCGCATCTTTGTTGAGGTTCAAAACGCAGTGGAGAAAATTCTGATTGTGCGTGTTTACCGCCTCGGGAATCCCTGAAAGGGCCGGCCACGAGGGTTTCACCCCAACCATATCGATATCCCCTATAAAGTTAGGTTCAATCGATAGCGGCTGGGGTTGATAGTAAACTGGCTGATTCTAGAGGCCGTAGCCTTTGTGGTGGTTGAGTAATTTTTAAAAATTTTGTTCGCGTCGAAGTTGTTGTTTTTCCTAGGGAAAGATATGTGGTTGGATTATGTACCTGTTTGTAGTCAATGTACACGCTATGCTCGACGAGGCGTGCGATTGGCCAGGATCTAGTCTAGATAGTAAGGAGACAGAGCTGGCATCAGCTATTCTACAATGCAGTTTACAATGCTGGTCAATCAAATGTGCAGATAGAAGAGGAGCATGCATGTCTTTCGGTGAGCGTACAAGAAACTACTTCCTCAGGGCAGAGCAAAGATCATGACATTAAACTGTTATAGTACAAGTGGAATACTGCGCGTATCCGCCTAGCTTTCCATGCCAGGAAATGTCACCAGAAATGAATCATAAAACTACCAAGCGCAAACCAAACCAGTGCTGCTAAGTTCACGTGAAAGATTCGTTGCAAGTGGTGCGATACCACGCTCAGAGTAAACGGTTCAGCAAGCCCCTAGTCCTGCTCTCAGACATGGTACCGATGCCGATGTAGCGTTTCCCTGTTCCAACGGAGCCTCGCCGGGCACGAAGGCCCATCCGCATCTCCCCGATCCGTTTCTCCCACGCGGGGAGGTCGGTTTCCGGCGCGGTTTCACGGAGGAAGTCCGTGAGCCCGCCAACCACCTCGGCGCGACTAGCGGCGCGGGTGGGCATTCTTTGGTCTTGCTCGATCGTCTCAGCAGAGGCCTGCCGGATCTTCACAAAGGAGTACTGTATGACGACATCGTTGTCCGCGACCAAGGTGTCGTCGCTTGGCCTCGACGTGCGGCTTCCTCGGTCGATATTGGCAGAGCGCTGCCTAGTGTCAGTGTGGTACTCCCGTGGAGAATCAAGTGGAGGTGGTCCACAAGGTTTTGATGGCATGTCCGCCACTGTTTCAGTATGATCAGATATCTGTTTCGAAGAGCCGATCAGTATCATCCAGCTGCCGGGATGTATGTCGCTGGGTTTGGCTCTTGCTGGGTCGTTGGGCGAAAGGTGGTAATTGAAAAATCCCGCTGGGATGGGGATAACACCGAGTTGACCTGACGATAGTGATGAGACCCCGTGGTATGCAAATTGTAGAATAGCTTTCTCGGATTCCAAACCCGAGCTCAAGGCCGACAAATAGGCCAGGAAGCGGACGGCGAAGCTCCCACCGTCTAGCAGGGTATTGTTCATGGCGTAGTAGTTCTGGTACGGCTGGACGTTGTCTGCAGCTACGTCTGGGCCCTCTCCGCCCTGGTAGTGCCCAAACATGAACATGTGCATCACAGGAAGGATGTGGGCGTGGGGCGAGGCAAGGCTGCGAGTGATGGTTGAAGACCATGTTAGGCATTCGCGGCTACTCAGGGATGTTGAAAAGGCACAGGTTGCATAGATGGTCTTGCACTGAAGCCACTCCGAACCTCCTCGTTCTTCTACCGCTCCCCGCTGCCAAAGTAGCAGCAGCTCCGAGTAACAAAGGGTGGATGAATCGTCGCTATCTCCGTTAAATCCCTGGAAAAGGCAAAGCTGCCTTAGACCCGTGCACTTTGACATGGCCACGGTAAGCTCTTTAAGGTCTCCGCCACTCTCCAGCCCAAACTGATCAGCGCCCAGGCTAAGCGCAGACGCGCCCCGAAGCTCTTCAGATGCAAGGGCCGCAGCGATCACGCTGGGCGTGAGGTTAAGAAAGGCGGCCCAGTTGAGGTGACTGCGTCCGGCGTACGCAACAGCCAGAACATGGATTGAGACTTTAAAGGGGCCCAGCCTGTGTGGATCCTCTTCGAGCTGCTCCCGCAGCTGCTCGGGGAAACTAGATACTATTTGCAAGTTGCCGAACGCTGCTCTCTCGAGGGGATGCTCGTCGGGCTGGTGAGTGAGGACAAGCAGCTCATCAATAACGCGGTCCATGTCCGCTGGGATATGCTGCGGCTGATCGTCTGATATGCTGACGCTTGAGGCGGTTGTGGCCGAATCATCTTCTGCGCAGTCGAAGCAAGTACCTCTCGACGGGTCAGATAATATGGAGTTTGCTATCATCTCCGCAGGGTGTCTTGTGCTTGATCTCTTCTTGATACGGGTCACCCTCTTTAAAGGTTGGATAAAAGCCGCTTTATAGGTTAGAAATGGTGGGACCTATGCGTTCAAGGAAAGGCCTGGGTATTTCACAAACTTTTAAAGATGTCACAGATAACATCTCTCCACGATGCCGGAGGCGAGCCCATGAATGTAGTCATATATAGCTTAATCTCTCGTGGCCAAATATCTACCATTCAGTCAGTTGCTGCAATTCACCCTGACAGGTCGCGTGGAAACAGACATACAATTCAAGGCGGCAGTGCCAAGACGGGGCATATTATCCAGGCGGCAGAGACTAGGGTCATTGCTCAGGTTGTCATAGTGGAAGTACCTGTTTAGCCACTGATGAATAGACAACAGCCGTCGAGGTCGTGGACTGAAGGGTACAACGTCCGGCTCCTTTTCAGGCGCGGGGTCTTGCCCGGAATCCCAGCCACGTGACTCCGATTTGTACTGAACATCGGCCATGTAGCGCACGGGAAAGGCCGCGATGCCATACTTGACGCCGCTGTCAAGGTCGGAAATGTCCACAACGACAAGCCCATACTCGATGCATTCGCCAAGGAACACAGTGGATAGTGGCTGAAGCTGGACGTCGCCCGAACGCGTGCGACTCCTTTGAGTGCCATCCCCTTTGCCGCCCAACAGTCCCAGTAATAGGCAGGTTGTGGCGAATGGAAACTCGGTAGGGGCGTCATCACGCCAAAGCAGCTGAGGTCGGGGCTGGGAAGATTCCGTCTGCTTCTTCCATGGCACATAAGCGGGCTGAACCGAGTCTGGAACACTGGGTCGCGGAGTAAATTGATCCTTATCATGTCCCTGAGTCCGCCAATACCAGTCTCGTGCAAGAACCGTCTCCGCCTCCAGCGGCGCGCAGTTCGCAGGATCGGACAAGATCTCAATAAGTGCAAGAGTGTCTGCCGCGAAGTGCTCCACGCGCTGCAGATGTGTCTCTTCGATAGAATTATCCCCCTGGCGGTAGGCTACGGCCAGGGGGCGGCTCTCGCAACCAGGGCCGACATTTGCGACGACGGCGAAGAGGAAGGAGCGAGGACACATACGACATAGCTCGGTGTATTCGTTGGGCATCTTCTTTGGATTCTTGAACAGGAGGGAAGGGAAAAAACGGGGATAACGCAGGCTAGTAAATAGAAGAAGGGCGCGGGGAAGTGATGGCGGAGGAGATTCTTTAAATCATATGCTGTACCCCGCCCGCGCCAAGGCACCAGGCGGCTGTGTGATTTGTGACCTCCTGAAGGTAGGGAACTTCCTGGTGTGGAGGAACGTTCCAGAGGAACATCCCGGGTAGTTAGTATAGGATCTAGGGACCCTCCGGTAGGCATCCAGGAAGGTTCCTGGATGCTCTGCAGGCCTTCCTGCCTGAGGCAGAGCCTCGGGCAGTATTGATTGATTGATTGATTGATTGATTGTATTTTTCGGCCGCGGTTCACCGCCTAGGCACGTGACCCGCCATCCCCTGCTGGGGCAAAGGCCGCCAGGGGGTAAGCCCTGGG